TAAGGTGACCGAGCCCCTCACCCTTGCAGTCCCCATGTGGTCACTGCACGTCACCCAGTGCTGCCTGGTTGGCTCTGTGACTGTGACACTCCCACTAGCACTAAGACAGACACGGGGAACAAATAGGAGACCGGGCATGAGAAGCTGGGGTGTCCCTCCATGGAGAGGCACTCTAGGGCCACCAGCACGGTTCCAGCTGTGGCCACACTGGATGCCCGTGGTGGCCGCGTAATCTGTAGTTTTCTATCCCAGGCTCGGGGTTGGCTCTGACTGCGATGGGGTCCTGCATGTTTTGGAGGATGGTTTAGCACAGTTCCTCAGGTGCCGCACTGCACAAACCCAGGGGTCACCGTTCTCAGCGCAGTCCATGTACATGGGGTCCCTGGGAGCCCATTACCACTTATGTGACAGTGTTGTGAGTGGTGCCTCCTGGAGGTGGGCACTGCAGCAGCCCTGAAATTCAGACTGTCAAGGGCAAATTGGTCAGGGCTTTGATGTGGAGACAGGAGTTTTAGGTACAGAGTGACAAACGGTGTGATCTGTTCACTCGACAAGCATCTACCTAGCACCAACTGACGGGCAGGGTCCAGACTGGAAACCGGCTGGGGGTGGAGCAGTGCCACCTCCGAGATCACCTGCGTGGGTGGAACAGGTAAGTGCTCCTTATCCATTTTGTGAATCTGAGCACTTCGGACTGCTGGGCACAGCCAGTCATTTCACAGGAGACCTGACTACAGCGGGAACGGCCCACACGGGCGCCGGGCACAGGCCAGGCCAGGCCAGGGGCTCGGCAAACACCTGTTGGGCAGGTGAGTGACGCCTTCATGACTGATGGCGCAGATTTTCTAGCGTGGCCCTGACCTCTTCCAGCTCACCTGACGGTCCAGCTTCAACATCTGAGTGTTCAGGCCTCAGCCCCCCAAGCCGCAATCGTTCACCGTCACGTGATGTGTCCGCACTACAAGGAGGGACTAGGGAGCCCGCGTGGCGTCCGGCACAGGGTAAGCGTGTGGGTTTGTCTTCTGCAGGGTGCAGGGCACGACCCGGCCCAGCGATGTATTCCTGGACTGCAGGGGCAGCGACCAGGATGTCACTGCCCCTCTGACCATGGCCAGATGAGCCCCAGGATTGAGAATCCCCGAAGTTTGCTTCTACCTGTCCAGCCCAGATTTTTACAGTGGACGAGAGGGGCCCACGTGGCCGTCTCCCTGTGGTGACGTGGCTATTCAACATTTACAAGAAATGCCCCCAGTGACGCCATTCGGGGCTGTATGTCAGTCTGGATTGTTGGGGGATCTGTAAACTCACTTCCCAAGGCTCTCCCTGCGGGTGGGGACCAATCAGCCAAGTTGAAAAATTAAAATAAGCCCGTGAAAAATTTAAAAGTCTGCACCTCCGGGACACTTGTCTTCTTGTGTGGCCTGACCTCTAGCAGACACGAGTCAGTGTGCCAGGGAGGGGTCTGGGTGGGGACAGTGGCTGCAGGGACGAAAGGGCTGGGCCGCACCGGCCGGAGCCCTGACCTGGCACGGACGGCGGGCTGGGCAGGGTCAGCGCCGGGCGTGGCCGCACCCACAGTCCCGGGGTGTCTGAACTGACCTGAAGGGATCTCCTGGTCTGAGGGTGAAGCCTGACACCCTCAAGCCCTTCTTTTCAGCCCTGGGGCCAAACGTGCCTGACTTTTTCTGACACTGAGGGGAAATGCCACCCACTGAGGAACACTGCGCGCTGCCTCCTTCTGCTTTCTGGAGCATCGGAGACAGCAAGAGGGACCAGATCTACCTGCAGAATCATGTGCATGTGTGCATGTACGTGTGCATGTATGTGTGGTTGCGTTGTGCACGTGTGTGCATGCATGCATGTTGTGTATGTGCATGTGTGTGGGCATGTCCATGCACGTGTGCATGCACACATGTGAGTATATGCTCGCGGCTGTATGTGTGCATAAATGTGCACAAATGTGTGAGCGTGTGCATGTGTGTGCATGCGTGTTTTCAATTAAGGCCTGTGCACATTGGCAATGGTCACAGTCAGGTGCTAGCTTTGTGGCTGGAGGGTCCCGGCGAGGCGGTGAGCAGGCTGCTTCTCTAGGCGAGGCAGGGAGCCAGTGGGCACCCCCAGCTCCCGATCCTGGCTGGGGCTCCCCAAGCGCGCGGCAGTCACCCCACACACAGACACGCGGAAAGCATAAAACTGCTCGTTAATCACGCCGTTCCCAGTGGGAAACAGTCCGCACAGACACGGTGGCCGCACACCAGCGTCGCACACAGATTCCTCAGTGGACACAGAGTGCTGTTGTCTTCTTTCTCTTCTTTTTGTTTTTCTTTTGTATTATTATTATTAAAAATTATGTAGTGATAGAAGCTCACAGTAAAAAGTAAAAGTAGGCAGCTTAAAAAATTCGGTTTGGGAGTCACTAAAAAACAACTCTATAAATCTATACTTGCATTCGTCACTACCCTGTATCTCGTTCTCAGGGACACTCTACTCACTGGCACGTCCACAGCCACGGCAGGATGGGGACGGGTTTTCATTGTCATGACCTGGGGTCCTGCGGGGTTTCGAGGAGCCCTTGACATTGCCCAGGGACCGGGCTGCACACACCTGCTCTGCACGCTGCTGTCATCCCTAGACACGGCGAGTGTTGTGACCACCCCACCTCCAGCGCCCTGCCCCACACTTGCCGGGTCAGAAACAGAGGCTCCGAGAGGCCAGGAGACTTTCGAGGTCACCCAGACGTGGCCCCTGCACTCTGTACCTGCCTTCGCCACAGGCTGCCTGCTCAGTCCCTGTGATCTCTGCTGAGCCACATGGATGTGAGGCCTCCTGCCTACCGCAGAATGTTCCAGTCCCTGCCTGCAGAATGGTCTAGTCCCTGGCCCAGCTGCCCAACAGGGACTTGGCAGAGCAGCAGGACAACAGACCCGTGAGAATTTTCATTTATTCCTGAAAAGACCTGTGGGGCTGGGAGGAATGTCCTCCTCTAAGGTGGTGAATCTCAGGGGATGCAAATCAGGTGACTCCCAGCTCTAATTGTCACCTGGCCATAGTTCCTTCTCGGGAGCAGGGACACCTCTCTGTGAGCAGCTGTGTGAGTGCCCAGAATGTCAGGACACCAGGGTTGCAAACCCTTAAAGGCCTGACCTGGCTCCTTCCTCTTACTGATGGGGAAAATGGTGGTGAGGGCACGGCCTTGCCTGAGGTCACACTGTTCCTAGTGGCAGAGCGATGTCAGAACCTGGGTCTTGTGCCCCCGCGCCAGGCTTCCTCTGACTCCTAAGGCCCGTGTGTGGGATGCAGGCATGGGCTGATCCAGCAGGGCTGACTGGCTGGCTGGGCACCCCTGTGGCAATAAAGCCCTGGGATGTCCTGGGAGGACCTGGCATCCGAGGGAAGGACACCACGTCTATACCTGGCCACAACCCTGAGCAAACGTCTCCTGCTTTGACTCTACCAGTGCTGTCTGCACAGAGGAGAGGCTGGGACCAAAGACTGAAGCCACGGGGTGGGGTCTTCCATAGCCTGCCTATGTGACCGTCAGTGTGACCCTGGATGAGCCACTTGACCCAGCTGAGTCTCAGTCCCCTAGTCTGTAAAATGGGAGAGTCCCTTCTTTACGGGGCTGTTGCAAAGCCAGGAGGCATGGAACGTGCTTTATGTCCCCAAAACTTTGCTCTGCTTTGTCAAAGGTGGCACTGTGTTTGCTCAGCATGACGGTGATTCGTGCGGACCCCTGGCCTGCTCACCGTCGCCTCCTTCTGCTCTGCCTCTGGGTCTTTGAAACCACCAAGCCTGTTCCTGCCCCAAGGCCTTTCCACGGGCCGTTCCCTCTGCCTGGAACGCTCTCCTCCCCGCTGTGACCCCGTGGCTGGCTCCTGCTCGTGCAGACCTGGGCTTCAATGCCACTGCTCAGAAGGGCTTCCCAGACCACGCTGCTGAGCAGGCCCTCACTAACACGTCACCGTCACCCGCCGACAGAGCGCTCACCGCCACTGCCACCTCCTTTCTCCTCTGCCCGCCCTCCCTGCGCAGCTGGAAGACCTGCCCCAGGAGCAGGGGCGCGGACGGACAGTCCGGGCGAGAACTCCGGGTCTGACTGGATGAGGATCCAGGGTCAGAGGGGACGTGTTTGAGCGGGCGCCCCCCACGCTAAGGGTGGTGGGAGATTTGGGCATCACTAACGCTAGCAGAATGAGCGTGTCTACGCTGGCAGCGTGGCCTTCGGGGACTTACGTCACCATCATGCAGGTGATGTCCTCCCATGTGTGTGCCCCCGGGCCGCGAGGCAGTGGGAGAGGCGGTGAGCTCTGTGGGCGGATGTTACGGGCGTCCAGGTTTACGTGGAAGTCCCACCTCAAAGCAGATGGATTTCTAGAACCTTCTCCTCTGGGTTTCATCAGCCTTCCCGGCAACAACTCATGTGTTTGTCTCTCCCACCAGGGGGGAGCTCCCTGGGGGCAGAGACCAGCTCTGACTCATCTTTCTTTCCCGTCTCTCTGCCCAGCACAGCACCTGGCACACAGCAGGTGTGTGCTTAACCAGAGTGTGCGGGGCAGACAGGGTTCCGGCAGTGACTGTGGAGAGCTCGGGGTGCTGGCCCGCCCTTGAGAAGGCATTGGGAGGTGCCCCAGGGGTTGGGCTGGGTGTGCCCTGGGCTGGGGAGCATGTCACGTCCAGGGAATTGGAGGCTGGGCTTTTGGTTCCTACACCCTCAGGCGAGGCTGGCTCTCCTGGCTGTGTGACCGTGGCCCTCCCACCCCTCTCTGAGCTGTTTCTGCAGGGGGCTAACACCCACTTCCCAGGTGGTGAGAAAGGGTGTGCATGAGAACACCCAACCCAGTGCTGTGGTCGGCCTGAGATGCATCCCTTGTCATTACTTATTACTGCTGTTAACGGGAGTGAATTCCCTAAGACCCAGCCCCGACCGGCATTGTCACACCCCCAGTGCCTCCCAAGACACAGCGGGGCTATACCCTGTGCTCAGCCAACTCCACCTGATTCACAGCTGCTGACTGCGGCAAGAAGCTCGAGCCCTGGACACCGACCCTGGCAAGAACCCCCAGACACATGGTGACCTGTGTTCATCAGAGAACTCGGGGGGACCCCAATAAAAACCAAACGAACAAGAAGAACACCCGAAATCACACACACACATGTGTGCACACACACGCACATTCAATATTCTGATATGGATAGGCCCGAGGGGCCACTATTGGTGGGGCGGAGAGAAGGGAAGCTTCGGGTTTTAAACCACAGTTATGACTCACAGGCCTAGATCTTCCTGGCTCAGATCAGCCAGAGCAGCTTTGTGTTGGTCATCCTAAGTTTACAATGAGTCACCTCTCAGAAGCCACCAGCCCAAAATAGGACTATTGCTTGTGGACGGGTGGCTCAGAATCCCTTCCCCTGTACCCCCAGTCCCTACCCCTGAGTTTGCTCCTAATCTCAGAAGTCCATGGAAGGGGATTTTGGGCACAGGCATCCTTTCCTCCTCTGCCACTGCCACCGCTGCCTCAGCTCTCCCTGGCATCTCTGCAGAAGTTGTTCTTCTTGGAGGCTGTGCCGGGTGCTTCGGATCTCACCTCCCCCATCCTGAGGCACAGCAAAAGGGTTTTCTGGGGGAAATAGAAGGAAACAAAATATCAGATGGTGTCTCCTCCAAGGAAACTCACTGGGGACATTTCTCTTGGGCCTCGGTGCCAGGAGAAGACTGTTTTTCTCTGAGCAGATGGCCTTTGTCATCTGTGCATTGTGAACCATGTGACTGTAAGACCAGAAGCAGGACAAGAAACTCTGCTATCATTATGGTTCCATATAGTACTAGAGCCCCAGCCCATGCAATAAGACAAGAAAAAAAACATAGAGTATCATATCAGGACTGGAATAGAAGAACCAAAAGTATAATTAATTGCAGGTAATTTACTCAGAAAATCTAACAGAATCAGCAGGGTAATGATTAGAACAAACATGTAGACATAGATGTAATTTTTAATCTGTAAGACATCAGACCAACTTACAAAACTCAACAGTGTTCATGTACCTCAGCAATTACCAGAGTGATTATACGTCTTGGCTTGGGACAATCCCAGTTAACATCTATTGTTCTGACATAATTTTTAATATTGTTCTTCTTTCAAAAAGTATTCTTATTTGGATGATAAATTATATGGTCACTCTTGCTACAACAAACTGAAAAATATTAAAAACAGATACCATTCATAATAACAAAAACTATTATGTATCTTGGAAGCACACCAAGATACTACCATATCCTGCAAAGCCGTGGAGAAGAAACCAAGGTGCTCCTGGAACAGGAACGAGCCAGGAGACCAGCGGGGCGGGGAATAGCAGTGTGAAAACTGGCCACCTCTGGCTTGATTGGCAGTCAAGTCACAAACGAGACAAGGAGGAACAGAAACACAAACTCCGTCTGCGGTAGGCACCATGAATCCCCTGTCCTGTGTCCATCACAGAAGCAACTGCCCAATCACAAAGACTCACCTTCCCAGACTCCTCTGCAGTCAGGAGTGGTCACATGACCAGCCTGGCCAATGCCGTGTGAGCGGAAGTCTCCTGGGAAGGGGACGTGGCCCCAGGGGAAGAGGAGCCATCTTGCAAGTGTGCGAGTGAAGAACCCTCCCTGACTTAGGTGAAAGGACGCCTATCTCCATGTCGGCTGCAGGTGAGTTTCCTCTCCTTGCATCTGATGACAGTCCTCAGCTGATAAAGCATCTTCAGCCAAGCTTCAGCGCATGTCAGCAGGGCAAGCGGAGGAGTCCGGGGAGGGGCTCTGACAGAGCAGCAAACCTGACTCTGCAAAGTGAGTGACGCGCCGAGGGGAAGTGCCGGCCCTCCGCTCCGAGCGTCAGTGGGGACAGGTGCATGCTCTAAGGGCGAGAGGGTCCCGGGGTCATCGCCTCTGCCTCACAGAACAAAGCCAGGTCCAGGTCATCCCGACCTCCTGCTTTGTTTTCCTCCACAGCACACGTCTCTGTCCCGCATACCATGTATCGTACTTATTTGCTTAGTTTACTGTATCCAGTAACTTCCTAGTTGTTTTTCCAACTAGGAATTTAGCTATAGGAGGGCCAAGATGATTGTGTGTTTTGCTTATTGCAGGGCTTAGAATAGTCACTGGCACACAGTAGGGGCTTAATAAATATTTGTTGAATGAATGAATAAACCAAGAATTTAAAGCCCAGATGAACCATCTTTCTTGGTATAGAGTCATCAGAAAAATCTGTTGAACACATTTTTGAATTATACTTCCCATGAGCCTGTCTTAGGTAAATGACTGGAGGATACACTCAGGTGACCCAAGGGGTAAGTGAGGTAACGCCAGCACAGGCAGAGTGATGAGCACAGCACCTGTTTCACTGTGGGACTGTCTGGAGTGAAGCTGAAGATTGTGATGATTACAGAAAAGAATGAGACAGAAAGCAGAGAATGGACATGCAGAATGATAAGCTGGACAGGTGGAGGTAAGAAGGGGAATAAGTAAACTATGTCTTATTCATTTACAGTCGGGGGTCTAAAGAATTGTTTAGAAGTTTAAGTAAAGCTAGAGGCACAAAGGTAAATAGAAAAAATAATAGAATTGACTAACATAATTTGATACAAGGGAGGCAAGGGGAGGAAAAGCAGAAAGATTATAATTTTGACATCATTCATAGTAAGGAGAAAATAAACGTTGTCTAAAGAATTAAAGGATTAAGAATATCGTATCACATTATAATTCTGAAGATAACCACGGGAGCCAAAACACAGCTTTCCAAATTATCAGAAGACATGCATACAAAAAATAAAACAAAGACAACGAAGACCATATGGTAAAAACTGACAACCCCCACAAAAGCTATAAAAGCAGAAAGCGGATCATAAACCATGATGACAGAATGAAGACAAAATGTATCTGCTGTATCAGTAAATGCTAATGAGCCATACACACTTGCCAAGAAAAAAGTCTCAGACTGGATCACAAACAAAATGCACTGAAGGGAGAATGATTCAGAAAGGCTTAATACAAAAGGTGGGCAGATGATAAAAAAGTTATGGAGGTAGATGTGGCGATGGCTGCACGGCAATGTGAATGTACTTGATGCCACCACACTGTGCACTTAAAAATGCTTACGATAAATTTTATATTGTGTACAATGTACCACAATTAAAAAAAGGATGGGCAGAAGCATGACCAACAAACGCAAACCAAGCAAAGTCAGGGGTCATAATCTGAATATCAGGCAAAGTTGGACGCAGGGCAAGAAAGATTAAATGAGAAAAAGACGGGTGCTGGGGGAGCAGCCAGGATGGGAGTCACTGTGAAGAGCTAACAGTAATGAATGCTTATGTTCCAAACAACATAGCCTCAGCATTCGCAGAGCAAGACTACTGGACGTCTAGGAAGAAAAAGACAGAGTATGCTAGCATGAATACATTTAATTCACCTTTCTCAATTCATTGCAGCTAAAGTTAACAAAAACATAGATAAGGAAATACGGAGCCAAAGACTCTAATGAACAACTCTGTGTGTATGTGTGTGTGTGTTAAACAGAATCTACTTTCTATTTAAATGCTCTTGAAAATGCACACACAAAAAATACTATGAGGCCACAAAGAAAGTAAATTTCCAAAAGTAGAAATAGGAAATATTCTCTGATCACAATACACTAGAATTTGAAAATATTAATAGCAAAACCACAAAAACCCCAAACTCTACCACCAAGAAGTTTATAAACTCCTTAAAATAACTCTTGAGTCAAAGAGAGTAAAAAATAAAAATTGCAGAATATCTAGACAACAATGAGAATATAAAACATTACATTTCAGAACCTGTGTGATGCAGCCAAGCCAATGCTCAGAGGAAAATTTATAGCCTTAAAATACCAACCTTATTAATAAAAAAGGGAACATACATTAATAATCCAACTCAACATGTTAGAAAAGAAATAGAAAATAAATACAAGGAAGACATAAAAACAGCAAAAGGAAGGAATTAATAAATAATTCCAGCTACTAGTTCTTTGGAAAACAATGAGGCACATTAACTGTTGGCAAATCTAATAAAGCAGAAGACACAGGACGTAGAAGGGGAGGTGACTGCTTGGAAGGATCATCTGTCCTTTGCTCTCCAACTCTACTTCTCACTATCCCTTAACCCGTCCCAAAAGGCTTTTGCTTCAGCTCTGCAGAATTTGCCCTTGTGAAGGTCACTAAAGACCTCCATGTGGATAAACCCAGTGGTCATTTCTCAGCCCGCCTTTCATTTGTCCTCTCAGCAGCATTGACTCAAGTGATCACTAGTGCTGGGGGACACTCCAGCGCTTTCTCCTGGTTCTCCTCCCCCTTCTCTGACTCCTCCTGCTCAGCCCTCTGCCAGCCCCTTCCCGTCTCCCCATCTCCCCGTCTCCTCTTCCCTCCCCATCTCTGCTCACTCCCGAGGGTCCCATCTCCTCCCACGGATTTCAACACCATCTGTATGTTGATGACTCAGCAGCCTCAAACTCTCACCGAAACGCCACACTTACAGCCCAATTGTCTACTGACATCACCAAATGGATACTCGACAGACATTTCAAACTTAGTATGTCTCAAACTAAAATCCCAATCTTCCTCCCCAAACCAGCTTTTCCCACGGTTTTCCCGACCTCAATAAATACAACTCCACCCCGCCAGTTGCTCACTCCGGAGGCCTGGAGTCATCTTTGGCCCTTTTTCTCACACGCCGTATCCAACCCATTAGCAAATCCCGTTGGCCCTTCTCTTGGAAGGGCTTTTCTCCATAGCACTGTCGCCATCTGACAGGCCGTATATTTTACATAAGTATTTACAAATTGTCTGTAGTCTCCATAAAAGCAGGCTTTCATGGGTTTTGGCCACTGCTATATCCCAGTGCCAACGGCGGTGCCCGGCACGGGGGACACGTGTAATTAAGATGAGTTGAGCAAAGAGAGAAGAACAAAGGAGGCAGCGCCCTCAACTACCTAAATCAGAAAACCTTGACGAAATGGATGAATTTCTAAGAAAACAGAAATTACCCAAAAGACCCAGGAAGGGAGAATCCAAACAGACCAATTGCCAAGAAGAAAGAGAGAAACTGTCAAATAGCAAATCCGAAATCTAAAACGGGAGAAATGCAAATGAAACCCCTCATGAGAACGTCTCCCACAGGCAGGCACAAGGGAGCTCCCGCAGTCCTCGCTGCTCGCGCCGGTGAAGCTCGAGAAGGTTTTGGTTTTCGCTTCCCTGACAGTAGGAGGGACTTTGGGGTAATTCCGTGGCAGGCGAATTTGACACATGCCAACGTACGGATGCACTCGCCCTCTGACCTCGCAATTCCACTTAACGGGCAGGCGTCCTACGGACAGGCTCACGAGGGCAACCGTGTACACGCATCCATCGCCGCACGCGGGTAACAGCAGAAGATTAGGATCAGCCAAGTGTCCGCCAGAGGACACCGGTTCAACAACCGGCTCCCGTACGATGGAGAGCGACGCGGATGCGGCAGGCCCGGCAGCCGGCCTCAGGCACTTCCCATTCTCTGCTTCCTTCCCAGGCGTTGTCACTGGGATTCCAGACATGAGTGGAGATTCACGGCACGAACGCCACCTCTGTGCTG